GGCTCTGATATCCGTGGCGTCTAGAGGACGGAACCGTATTAAAGAAAAAAAACTACCAACTGCTCTCATTCGGTCACTATTACGATGCGGCTATTCAGGAGTTGGACTGGGCGAAGTAGACGGACGAAATAAGTTAAAAATGCAGCAATGTGAAGACATAGAAGCACGGGCGTACATACATGTTTAAATTCGGATCGACAGTCATATATGTCGGGCCTTATACATATGTAAGATGCGCTAATTTAGAACTGTCTTAGGCTGATGCTATAGCAGCACCTAGTCCCTAGACCGGCGCTTCTAAACGAATACGTTCATGACCCGTTTAGAGAATAAGAGTCTCCGGAAAAAAGGGCTACGCCATGCGTACAATCTACGCCATGCGTACGATCTACGGGACGATCTGTCAGTTTGCTTATCCGAGCTAATGATAGTCCACGCCAACCTCCTAAAATCACCTAATTAATATAGTATTATCGACATTTTGGCACAGGCGCAATATTTCCATTTAAAGCAGATTAGAGAAGTCCTCAGCCACATGCACCGAAATTTTGAACCGAACGGCCTAATAACGATTGTTTTTAAATGTGTTTGTGCGAGAACACAAAATGTCGTCTGTCTTCGATATTTATGCATAGTTATTGCCTTTTTTGCTGACGTTAACTTAACTGAAAATCGTCTGCTCAGAGGCGGCTCCGTACGATAACGCTAGGATAAAGAGCAAGAGCTTGCTGGATTCAGCGATAAAGCGGAACGGTGTGGAGTAGTTTAGACGCTGCAATTACCGCTATTACAACAGCAACGGCATTGAGACATTTGCTTTTATTTATTATTATTGTTATGGGTTGTACATGAGATGAAGTTATTACGCCTTTACGGGCCGCTAGTTTTTCATCGTTGTGTCGGCGACGAGAACGACATAGTGAGAGTGTGAGGCAATAGAGCAGCTCAAACAGATCTCTTATGGAGATGGGCTGTGGGAGCTAAACGGGAGAGATTAAAACACTTGTGGAGAGCCGCTGTTCCTTCTGGATAAAATCATGAAGGGTGACGATGGCGGCGGCGGCGGCAGCACCAAAATGTAGGCTAACAGCCGACTACAGGCAATGGAAAAACCTGCAGATGGGCAACGATCGTCCAAACCACAGTTCGTCCTTATGGACTGCCTGTTGTATTTGGTCAAGTACTGCATTTGACTGGAGTTCTGTTGAGAAGAGACGGCGCAATCTCTTTCGTCTCCTTCTTTACGGTAGCTGTTTCCATGTTTGACGTCTCTGATAGCTCTCGTCATCAAGTGACATAGGACCTCCGGCAGTTGGGCACCGCCATATAGACAGCGAGCACCCTCGCGTCGACTCCGCTGCGTCTACGAAGCCAGCTACGTCAATACGACGTTACTAGTCACCAATGTTATGACAGTATTGAAGACATTGGAAGTGCTGCTACCGATGGGCATACGTAATGCTTTTGATAATGGCCGTACTAAACGAGAAGAACGGAAGGCAGAAGCCATATAGACTCATGTACTTGTTTTGGCTTGATCGGCTTTTCTCTCAGTCTATCTCTCTGTCTGCTTCTCATCTTGATTTTCGCCCGTTTCACTTCGATATATCGGTAAGTAGTACATGGGCTTAGATTGGACGAAACAGAGAACCGTAGGGTCTATTCCGTTCGTCTGGCGGCCAATAGCGTTGGACAAGTTTGACTAAACGGCCGAATCGAGCAAGCTGAAGCTGGCTTGGCAGGCAGTAAACACAAGCAAGATCGCCTTCCTTCTACCGGAATGTCTAAACTATCATTTACGAGCAGTAACAATAACAGCGGCGGCGGCGGCGGCGGCGGCAATAGCAGCCGCAATAGGTTGAAGAGTAGCGATTCTAATGTGATTCGTCCTAAAAAACGCAACGTTTTTACGCTACTGCTGATGTGTGTTTTCACTTGAAGTGTTTTTTGTTTTTTTACACGTGTTCATACATGTTTATTTGCAGGAGTAACAGGAGTGATTACGTGAGCTAGAAGCACAGCACATAGAAATTAGACAATCAGAAAACACGTGTGTGTGAAGTGGCGAAAATGAGCTACGAAGTGACGCTGCTATGTTCCTCCAGAACAGAAAGCCGACCGTCTTCACAAGATATTTCTTATCGAGTTGAGACATTTAAGGCCTGGTTCAGCTGGTGAGGCAGAGCAAGGGGTAAGCATGGATACCTCACAAACGATCGCCTTCATTTTTTGCATTTACATCAGCTAAGTGATCTTTACATTTCTCTATCTTCATTCGCCCTATTCAGTTCCCACTTCATCGATGTCGATGGTACGACCCCACATCTGCCATTCGATATCTGCCAGCGCTCGAATTCCCTCCCTGTAAATGGCTCGCTTTCCGTTGAGGTTAAGCTATCGGCAGTTGACTTCTGCTAAAAATGCCGCTGAAGATCATGGTTTCATAGTTGTCGTGAGCCATCATCACACGCAGCAGTTCAGCGGTTCGGTTGCTGGTGGTGACATTGTGATACATATATGGCATATTGTACGAAGGTTACCATGTAAAGCTCGCGTAGAAATGATTTCGGCCAGTCTTCTTCGTAACAAAGGCAGCAGCAATGAGCGCCGAATAATTCGGTCCTCTACGGTTTCGACAATTGAAGGACACGCGTAGCGTGTTAACGATGACGAAGCACCTCTCAACGAAACTGCCGCCGGTGGCCATATCGGTCGCTAGAGCACCATCAGCGGCTGCCGCTGTGAAGCCAGCTCGCGTCAACTGGCAACGACGTCATCGTCGTTCGCAGGCAGCGAGTTAGCGATAAGGTAATCGACGATGTGGTAAAAATCCCTCTACCACAACACACGAAGGCACGTGGGCATAGAGTGAAGAATCGCTTAGAAATAGATAAAATTGTTGAAGTGATGGAGGTTGACGAGAGAAGAGCCAGTCATCATCTTATTGTTTCCTTCGCCAGTAACATTGGCTCAATGCGAGCAAACGAAGCAGCGTTCCTAATATTGGTACGATTGCAAATTAAAGTTACGGAATTACTGTAGCTCGTCTACGTGAGACAAGCACAAGAACAACGATGACGCACGATGATGATGAAGCACGAAGCTGGCAGATGCAAATGCGGGTATGTCGTAAGTTATTTCCAAAAAGGATTTCGTTTATTTGTAACAGATCCTAAGCTACTGTTCTCCGATCGTAGAACGCCACGGCGAAGGCATGCGCCAGTTGCTACCGCTACCGTCACCTCCGTTATAAATACAGATGAAGGTGGCGTTTATCCTTTAAGTTATGGAGAGATGACAAGTGAAGACAACAGTCGGAGTGGTGACTGAGATGAAATGATCCAAAAGTGAAAGATGTGGTAAAGCTGGACTAGACCGCCGCTGTCGGTAACGGACCGTCTGAGGAACGACGTAGAATTGCCTACGCAACCACGCTATCGTTGTGCCTTTGCGGATTGTATATGGTAGCAAGCCAGGCTACTGTGCCTACGGCTATATATTATATTATAGATGGAAAACAGGCAGCGACAACGACAACACTTGGAAGCACGAGGAAAACTAATCATATAAAGGCAACAGCAGCAGCAGCAGACCGAAATGGGGCAGGGGCAATTATAACCACTGGATCGTTAAAACAACAAAAACAAGTCATGTTCAGCCGCCGCTGCTGTAAACAAAATTAACGTTAAAGATGACGGCATTGCACTCATCATCAAGGATCTACCGGTAGCGTTGGTCGTCCCTTGCAGCTAACTGGTCTGAGTTTCTCTTCGACATATATATAACTTGTTGTAATGGCTATGGCAAGTACACCTAATGATATTTATGAGTCCTAGCAGCAGTGGTCACAGAAAGTAGGAACAATAACCAAAGGAGCCGCGATCACTGACCGGCAGTGTTGCCTGGTGGATACCGCAGTGACGAGAACAGCACTTTACGACAATTTGAAAATATTCCATTTTATTTGTTATGCGGATGTTGATTCTGATGCTGAATAATCTAGTAGCAGCGGTAGTGGTTGTTGTTGGCGATAAAGCAGTCGTTCGTATATAATCTAGAGCGTCAGCCTTCGACCAGTGATGTGGCTGGCGGCTGATGGTTCTATAGCTAGGAAGGCTTTTGTGGGCTCGTTTTTTGCTTAACGCCGAAGGGGAAGCGATGGAACGCGAAGCAAAACAGGGAGCGGGCGGGTGGTCGAGCGAGAGCGAGCATTCGAGTAAATGATGGCCTTAGAAATGAAAACACAGAATGGAATTAATCATCTCAACGATGCGCACTTCACACGACAGCTGCCATACTGCCACCTTGTATGGCCATAAGAGCAATGCTCTTATGCCACCGCGGCCAAACACCCGACAACAATAACTAGACAAGCAGCAATAACTTCACACAAATGCCCACCGCCTGGTGGTGAAGGCAGCAGGCTGCTGAGGTTGGTTAAGTGAGGTGCATTAGCAACAGCAGCGGCAGACCCTTACAAAACGTCATCTCATTTAAAGGGAGAAGCGACGACTATGCATGGATAGGCTGATATTATACTCGTCGCCGCTGGCGCTGCGGTGACTTGACTGTTTGCTCGGGGAAACGCACAAAGGGGGTACGAAAGAAGGATGAAAGTCAGTAAATAGACGGCGCATTTTGTAAGAGAGCAAGGTAATTAGTTAAAAATCACTTCCCTCGTTGATTAATTATTGGAGAGATAACTTACTAAACGAGCTTTCGCTTGTATGGTTAGCGCTGATACAGCTAAAAGCTAACTGGCTGGCTAAAATAGCCAAATACGTTGAGCTGAAACACACCAGGGCATAAGAGCGGCATCGCTTTTTTTTGCCCCCCCAACTACACGTAGTACGAAATAACGAAAAAAGCTTATCTAAATCGTATTTTCCTAATAAAGACTCTATACGTATCTACGATGCGTTCATACAGAATAGATTATAGTGGCAAACACGAATGTAGTTGTAAATAATGCACATTTTTTTCTACTGTTTCCGTTACAGCAGCGCGCAACAATATGGTTCGGCCACATTTCCATACGCCTGTCCATCCGTGGATCTCGGATCCCGCGGGCAAAGCATTGCCGTATGCCCACGGCTCGTCGTGGTTCCCAGCAGTGCAGGGGGCGAAACCTCCACATTCACCCCCCGGCGCAGTGTCTGCGCCCTCGTCACAGAGTTCATCACATTCATCACCGCACCTCTTTACGTTCCCACCGACGCCGCCCAAGGACGCGACGCCCGATCCATCGGCGACGGCGCTGCCAGCGGACTACGCTTCGGCTAGCCTGGCTGAGGATGTTAAGGCAGCCCAGTCATTTAAGCAGCGTAACGAAGGTTCGTTCTTGGCCGCTCATTCGGCCTATTACCAAGGCGCGTCGGCTTATCCAGCCGGCAGCGACCTTGGGCCCTACCACCCAGGCTATCATCAACAGCTGCTCAACAGTGTAAAATCAATCCAGCAACAGTACAACCAAGGTGGCTACGGACCCGCCTCGAGCAAGCCTAAGAGCAAGACGAGGTCCAGTGCCGGTAAGATTGAGGTGTTCTCCCACACATGCTCTCTTGCTGTCCTCACTTGAACTCGAAAGTCTCTTCTAGCTCAAGCATCAAATCTGTCGCACCGTCTATATCACTTGACTTGACCACGGTTTACGCTAAGCCATTTCACTATAACTCACTTTCTCGTATCTAACTATTTCCTCCAACTTACGCTTTCGAGCTTTATGCTGTGTGCTTCATTGGACTTGCAAACTAACCTAACCTAGCCTTAGAGTGAGGACAGAACGAAATCGGGGGACAATAGAGAGCAGGTAGGACACACCTCACCTGAAAAATTGCCGTGTGTTTTCTATTCTTGTAGAGCTATAGCTTGGGCCTTTACGATTCTGTCGCCTGTCACTTACTAACTAGTTCATTAACACGATACTATCGTATGGCTTCGCTGTCGCTCTCTCCTGTTTTGTCTGTGTGTACGAAAATATCTCGGACTGCGATTGTTGTTTCTATCTCACCATTTGCACGCTGCGCGCTTATATTTGATTGACCACTGCCGACACCAACTTTCATATCAATCGATGCGTCAAATGAACCAACCACACGGCCACGTTACGTTACTACACGTCGCATCAACTTCACGGCACAGGACGCACCACTACAGACTCACGTTCGACACCAGGTAGCTCCGGCCTGTGCAGTCCCCCTTCCGCTGTTGGGGGCCTAGGAAGCGGAAGTGTTGGCGTTGGAGGTCCAATGTTGGCAGAAAGTGCAGTGCTATCCTTCCCGCTGGAGCAGGGCTCGTATTTCTGGGGCGCCAGCCCGCCTGCCACCGCACCCGCGGGCCAGCGCTCCTCGGAGGTCTCATCGTTCGGAGGTAACAATACGACATGAAATAAAAGCCCCCAACATCATCCCATAATTTCCACGAAAAGACTCCCTCGACTGAAGTAGACTTCTGTAGGTTCCTTTTGTCGTTTATGTTTGAGCTCCTCAAAAGCTCTCTCGTTATTGAGGCATTCATTTGTGTTCGCGTTTATGCACCCTCTCCCCAACCCCCAATCCTCCCATGTTTCGCAACAGCTCGTACATCCAGGATCGTCATCAAGATGCCCTGATTGATTTCCTTGATTATGACCACTGAGTTGCATGTGTCCCTGTATAGCACGAATTCGTCGGAAAAACGAATCGCTACTGAGCAGAAGAAGAGATTTTCGTGAAACGAATGATCTTCAGCTTTGATGGAGTACTTAGACGTGGTCTGATGCATCGTGATGCCATTGGCCACTGTACGTGAACTTCGTTTCCTTTTTTTTTTTTGCTTTATTTTACCCAGCGAATGGATTTACTTGATAGCAGTACTGAGTTGAGTTGGAATGTAGTAACTATTACGTTTGCAAAGGATGTTCATATACCATTCCGTCAGTCTTCCTCTTTGTGACAACAACGACAACAATAATGACGGTATGGAGCAACTTTATCTTGTGTTGTCTCGCCCATTTAGATACATATGTTACTTGTATTTTTCGTCCTATTTGTTTTATTACGTCCTTTATTTTGCCGTTGTTGTCACTGTTTTATCAAGTGCGTAACGATGAGGCTTTGGTTAGTTATCAGTTGTTATATGACATCATTGAGTTTTTTTTTTTTTTCGGTGATTGGATAAATAACGATGTTCCGTTCCTTCGTCTATGGATCAGTTGCGTTTTCCGTGTGGTAAAAACGAGCTTCTGTTGGCATCCTTTGTTTTTCTCATTTGTCCATTGGCAGGCCTTATCGTCGTTCCTTTATCCTTGCGATATGCAACATTTTGTAGTGGTAACGATGGATAAACTACTGGCGAGTTGTTCGTGAGCTTATGGGCTATGCACAGATGTTGGTGATATGCAAAAGCTCGTGAGAAGCCCTTCGCGGTACGACATTTCTGCCATGGTATCAGATGATTCAGCTGACACCTCGTAGTTGGTCACTTCTACAGTGTAGCAATGGCGGAAAAGGTGTAAGACAACGGCGCTAAGAACAGAATAACGAGTGCCCTACTCATTATTTGGACGTGTTATCGCAGTTTCGGTAACTTCGCTTATCTAACACCATTAACTATAAATGTATTGTACCATATAGATGCATCAGCTATTACCAAAGCACATTGACAGGGGATGGCGATAATCTCCTCGTCGACTCATTCACCCTCCGCATTTATTCATCCTCCCCCCGATATTTTTTTCATGGGTTCACATGACTACCGAACTGAAGTTCTTTTCAAAGACGAGTGAAGCCTCACCCTTCCCTACTACGGTAACTTTTGCCGATAGTATAGACGAGCAGGCTACAGGCAAGGCTGATCTATTGAAGACATACGTGAGCACATATCATCAACTTAACATCACAGTTTGTTTAGATAACTTAACAACGACAGAAGCGGCAATTCAGATTAAATGCGGTATCGGACTATAACGACAACAACGGCACGAAGAGATGTGCATCGATTCCTTCGGCCTTTCGTCCGTTTACCGTTGTTTTGCGCCCTTCAAAAAGGTCTCGTAGGCAGAGTTGCGCGCAGTTGGTGGGGCATGTAGAAAAACAGATACACCAAACAGCTTCGAGCATCCAAAAAGGAGAGCACCAACGACATGTTGGTCGCCAGGCGATCTGATAATGCTTGTCTAGAGCTCTATTTCTATGTTTTTTTCTGTTGTGTGCATTTTGCGGTACACCAAATTCATTGTGCAAGAAGAGTTTACACACACACACAATTGCTTCGAGCTTGATCCCTGTTGTTAACAAGCGTCATGCAGCGGACAACGCAACAGGATACAGCCCATAGCCGCGTCTCATCAAATAGATACATCTACTATTTGTGACTGCACTATAGACGGACACGTGCAGACGTCACTGCCCGTGCGATTCAACAGTGTAACTAATACGATGGAGCAAACGAGCGATGATACTTCTTGACGGCAGTTGATCATTATCACTCTCGTCAACCCGTAAACACAGAAGCGTCATCGACATTTCAATCCTGTTTTGTTGTCAGTTGTTGTTGTTGTTAACACACAATCAAGGTAGGCCGTTGCTCAGCAGCAGCAGCAGATGGTGACGCTGATCTTGTAGCAAACTGATACAGTGAAAGCGAAGAAGGAAGAGATGGGACGTATTTGACGACAAAGATGCTAGAATGGGCGGGGGGGGGGGGGGTGAACCTCCGATGGGTGCTGGTTATTCTTTTGCACGTTTTTGTCATGTTCACGACGAACTCAGCAGCACGCGCCGCCGTCGCCGCCGACGACGGGATCTAGCTGACACAAAAGAGTGCAGTTGTCGTTCCGTTTAGTGTCCCATCATCATTTGGCTGCATATACATATAGCCGCAACAATAAGCAGCGTCATAGCAGGGCAAAGTCTATAATACTATTGTTGTCTATGGGCGGCAAGCTAACTATGTGATAGCGCGACGATACAATTTTTCCAGCAAAAAAAAAGCAGGAAAACACACAGCGGCCGCAAAAAACCCCGAAGCATCAACAACGCGAGTAATAACAAATGGACAACGACCGGATGGCTGAAAATGTTTTTTCTTTACAGCTGATTGCAAAGATCTACTGCACTGCTTATCTTTTCGTAGAAGAACTACTCGTTTTGTCGCCCATCGATGCGACAGAACACATCGAAAAGGCGTTCATCTGCCACTTTAACCCTCGTCGGTACTGCCGCAACATCCACGACGTCACCACGGCGCCAATGCTACAAGTACTGCTATGATTTCGTGCACGGTCATCTATTTGTTCGTTGGCTCGCTATTGAAGACTGTGCTTGGGGCCTTTGCCGAATGGCGCTGATGCCGATGAGGAAGCAGTTGTCGTTTCTCTTCTGATTTCTGCCGCGACTACCATCAGCGCTTCTGAACTATACCATTTAGTTGAATAATAGTTCAGTAGCTGTGATAGTAACTGCGGTTGTAATGATGCTTGTACCACTGACGGTTGTAATGCCATGCCAAGCGTGTATGTGCGTATTTGTTAAACCATAGTCGAAAAATGGGAGTCAAATAAAAACCGCCTACCGCCAAGCAACTTCGTTCATTTAACTGCGAGTTCAATTGGATTCTGCTTCTTCCCCTCATATACAGCGTTGTATCCGTCCATACGTGTGCCGTAATTCTGTCCGCACGCGCGGTGTTGGCAACTGCGTTATCTAACCGCCCAACAGCAAGTTGGCTCACTTTCCGTGTCGATACGTACATTATCGTACTATTGGAACCTTCTTCTCACAGAGGGGCAACGGCCGCGCTTCCCTTCTTAAAATCGAGGGACATAAGGGTCAGAAGAGATCAACAGAACTTTACTAACATCTGTGTATTCAACAGGAGAAAACAAGCACATCTAATCAACGAGTCAAACACAACATCGACGGCACCGACTTGAGCTTCAATGATGTACGGAGGAGGCGCGAGCGATTTGAGGCGTACTAACAACACTAACAGCAGCTGGATACTCCAATAACGGTGGCAACAGAAGGTTGAGTTGAGCCGCTGGCAATTAGAGACTCTTTTGTTAATCACAGATCGCCGTCGATCCTTTCGCGGCCGCCGATGCCCATTCGTTCAGGCGACCTGTCCGTAGTACATCGATGTTATTACTACATCTTACCAATCGCATGTACGACATACGTCGTCGTCCAACAACCATTAAAGCGTTGTGTGCCAATTTAATTCGATCCCCAGTTTCGCCGGTCTTCTTCACGTCATCGGACTGGCCTATCACCCCAATTCTTGTGGGCCGGCTTTCGTTTTATTATTGTTACTGTCGCTGTTGTATTCTGCCGGAAAGGCGGATCTTACGGCAGTCTTCGTTGCCGTCGTTGCATGGTGTGATCCAACGTCGTGAAATAGTTTGCCAAAAAACCGGCGGGCACAACGAGAGAGTGTGCGAAACTTAACAACAGGCCAAATAAAGAAGAAACAAGACAAGAAAAAGAAAATGACGACGATGACGAAGAACGAAAACAGAATGAAGAACGAAACTCGCTGCGAGGGGCACCCAACCGTCTTGAGGAGTCCAGTTGGATAGGCTCCGCAGTGAATCGCCGCTGCTGCCCAAAGATCAGGACCGCAGAACCACAATGAGAGATAGGGAGAGAATGGCGGGACGCGATTGTTTATTTTTAAATTAACCCACGTCTCTTTTATCACGATTAAGCACCGGTGGCGGCAAAAGCGATACTACCAGACAATGCAGGCCACTTGCGAACAGCTATAGAGAAGTAACTGTAGCATCAATACTGGCCGCAGCACCTCGACCATACCCGTGTCTTTGTAGTGTTCATTTAGACGTATCAACCAGATGTAGTATTGCAGATGCCGATGATACACACTTCAAATGACGAGGCATAAGGCCTGAAGAGCGTGTCGTACCATTAGATACCGCCTAAGGAAAAAGCAGAAAAAAAGAAAAGCTGTAGCTATATCCAATGTCGTGTTTTTGTCGACTGCATGCTACCTATACGAGGAGTGGCACTGAAACTTTACAGCCAGTAACGTCTCCCTTAATAATGAATAGGGGACACATTGCAGCGAATCGGCGTATACTATAGAAGCAAAGAGTTTAGAACGCCCGCAACAGCCAAGTCTCGGCTTCCTTGATGCGTGTTTAATGGAAGAAGAAGGGTTAGTTAGGACAAACGGTCTTCGTTGTTGAATACATGGCCTAAATATTGATGCCGAAACGTCCCTTAGACATAGAGCTTTGTGCAGCTTTTTTCGGCTTACCAACATGAAGGAGATGTATTCCATTTTTCGACATCGCGTCGTCAGCCTGAATACTATCATGGATATATAGGGGTACCTTCGTCTACTAATCACGTTTTAGGACGCTGTAGCAATGTTTCTCATAGAGAAGTGGGTGGATCGGAACAGGAAGTAAATAACGTTTAGCAGGAAGATTAATATTAGACAGTTTCAGACAAGCTTCAGTGGCAGTCTCTTTAGCTATGGGTCAGACTGTCGTTGCGGACCGTAGGTCGTCGAAAGTAACCCTAGGTGTAAGTGGAGAAGCAGTCAGGCTGTGACAGCAGAGAAAAAGTCTGCCGTTTCCTTGATCCCAGACCGCTGGTTGACAATACTATTAGATGTTCTACACAATCAGCCTCTTTGTATCGCGTCGTTGCCGTGCACTGTGTGTGTTTTTTGCTTTCCTCTAGTTATTGTTGGCCTTCCGTAAAAATAGTTTCCGATGCGAGATTGATGAAACGTTCGGAACTAGTACTTCGATTTCTCTCGACACGATGTTATATTGATTCTACCCGAATGAGGCAACAACTGGCAAAATCACAGAATGAGTTTGTAGCAAGTACGCTGCTTGTGGAAAACCAACGCTTTTAACACAAAATCTTCGCTTAGCCACCTAAATATCCCTTTTCACTATTTTTTTATTATAGCATTATAATAGCCTTGCCAATAGCGTACTGTCGAACGTTTTCGCTATACGTATCATGAACAATGTCTGCCAATTTCCACGTCAAGTTACTTGTCGACACTATGCTAGTGGTCACTCACAGCAAAGGTACACGATTATAGATTATTCACTCAATGCATCTGATAAGTGAAGATTCTGACAAAACTTCCGCTTCTCCCGACAACGCCGACTTTAAAGCTCAAACCGGACACGTACAACGCTAGCTGTTATCTTCCAGTGGAACGGTAGTGACCCTAGTATTTGAATGTAGCGTTTCCTTATCATCTTCATCCAGATAGATTTCCCTGGCAGACTGTGTCCCTCTTGTCGTTCCCCCAAACGGGACGAACTAAAGAGTCTTTACTTTGAAACTCCCAAAGACTGCAAAGATCGTCGGTGGTGACCTTTCATTGAACTAGTCATTACATAGCACAATAACAATGTGTTTTTCAGCCTTTCATCACAGCTGGCGTAATCAACAGCATTGCTAGCGTTCCATATGGTTTGGTGGTATATATCTTGTCAGTGCACGTACATTTTTTCTTAAGCCTTTGTTCGTTCGAGACTGCTTGTTCATTTGTTGTCTACTTCTTTTCCCTTGAATGCGGAAAGCTCTAAAAGCGGTGCATGGGTCAAGCAGTTGTTGTAGCCACAATAATCGTACGACGGGTTGCTACGGCGTCAAACCCTTAGTTGGCGACCAGACGTGACCAAATAATACGAGATGCGTAATTCGTGTCTAATTTTTACTAACTGAAGTGTTTCTTGTTGACTGTTGTTGGGTTTTGCGCTCCTGACAACAACCATCAACTCCAGAGGGCAGAGAGTGCGTGAATTGCGGAGCCACGTCGACGCCGCTATGGAGACGCGACGGAACGGGCCATTATCTGTGCAATGCATGCGGTCTCTACCACAAGATGAACGGTCAGAACCGACCCCTTATCAAGCCCAAGCGAAGACTGGTCAGCGTAAGTATCCATTCAACTTGGTAAAAAAGTAGAGTATATGTTTATTTTTGGAAGATACAGAAAATTTTCCTTATGTCACGCTGAGTAATAGCGGGAGTAAAGATTTAGACTGGGATGTGCAAATAGGTATTATAGGCTTCGTTTACAAGTAGAGAATTTATTTTTAATCTTCCGTGAAGAGAAACTGTTTCAACAATTATGGTAATCAGACCAGCGTTAACAATGTCCATGTTCCATCGAGAATGTTTGCTTGGCTATTTACACTTTGGGATTGGGAAGTTATTTCGCGTTGCTCCTTTTGTTGTAGGTCCTGTTTCAAAGGACAGTGGTACCTTCAATGACAGCCAACAGCGTGTTTACTGCCTAAAGAGACGTTATATGTTTGCATTACATGCAAACATATAACGTCTCTTTTATATCCTGTACAAAACTCGGTCCCGAACTGCTTGTATTTGGACTTCGCCCCAGCCCCCATTACACGGCCGAGCAAGCGAAGCACCAAGATGGACCAGTGTATACATTCAATGCATATATATTGAAGCTATTACATTGTTATCTACTGTAGATAGCCACTAAACTGACTGGTTGACGGGTCTGTCTTCTTCGCCTGTCTCTGTCGCAGAACGTGACCACATTACCTCGCGCCGCCTTCGTTTGAGTATCATTATAAATTTAAAGCGACCTAAGCCTCGAAAGAGAGGAGTTCTTTTTCTCACAAACCTCACCCACCCCCCTGCTGCCCCTTGTCCGCTGTTGTTCAATCTCTAGCTTCCGTACTTCCTGTTTTGGCAAAATGCCGCTGCAGCCGAGGCCATTGCCTTCACCGTTAACGTGGCCTGCTTCCCTCTACCACTATTAGATAGTATTAGTACTACTGATATGCACGCTGCCGCCTGGATACTCAACCGACTAATCTGGCGGGGGAGTGGGAGGGGGATTGGCACGCATCGGCACCACCGCCATTGTTGTTAGGCCCTGGCCTTGCCTCGACTATGATGAGAGCATAAAGCAAAAAAATACCAAGGGTCTGTACATTGGACAGGTATATATAACTGATTCAGTAGCTTGGCTCGACGTTTCGCGCCATTATCGAGAGGACGCACTGTGCGACCTTCTTTGGCATATAGCAGCGACTAGACCGCTCGAACTGTATTTGTTCCCCACGGATCGACACAACTCGTCTTTTAGACAGAGGCACGTTAGGCACGCTACCGCCATAATTTGAAAGGTTAATTGCTACTGCAGACGATTCTGCGATTGTCGCTTTGTTTAGTTGCTGTTGCTGCTCGTTAACACTGAACGAATAATGCGGCGGAGAATTAGGTTACAGGTGGTCTCCTGTCACTTCTAACCAGGACATTGCCGCTTTCTTGATAAGGAAAACCATAGCAACATTAGCGACTGCCACTGCCGCCGTATTCACGTCACAATTCAGTCTGCTAACAGTAGCGTAGTGAGGGATTTTAGCGGTGGGGACCAAACTGCACCACAAATTTTCCGATCGTAAAGTTAAATGCCCCTGTACCGGCAGCGCGGATTGTTTTAAATAGCGGCTCCCAACAGCAACCAGCGTGGCGGCCACCCCCTCTCGGACGGATTAAGTAATGGTAGCACGAAAACCGAGGAAAACAGGCCGTAGATACCGCAGTGTCGGTAGTCTCAGGAGCCTCGAAGAACCACCAAAGGTTGGTGGAACGTTGGTAAGCGATATATGAAAACAGGATATAGTCAATAGGGGGGTTAACGCAACGCGAGGGCTTTCATGGCTGACTGAAGTGCTAAAGCTTGTTCTGTTTAGTAGCTCTTGTTTGATGCTCGTATTAGTAGAAAGCGCAAGCTACAAACATATGTCATGTTGAAACGAAGGCATTTGGTCTTCTAATAGTATTGAATATATATAATTTGTCGACAGAAGTTACTTTGGCAGTCACACAAAGGAAAGGTTGCTTTATCTATGTGTCGTCATATATCAACACGTATCCGCCGGTCAAACATCGACATAGACTGAAGAGCACTAGTAATATAGAAGGCGTTGAAAAACGTCTAACTGGTTAAAATAAAAACAGAAGAATTTATGGAGCCAGGTAGAAATAGCAACGTGACTTTAACGACAGCAGTATCTGAGCAACGAAAGCAGCAATTACGAGGGTTGAATAGATTCATTTTTCCTCCAGCAACAACAGCGTCAGCGACTGCGGAAAACGTAATCAGATCAATTGTGATCTGCAGCAGCTTTGAAGACGCTACTCTGTCATTTCGGTCGGCAAACCAGCCGCTAGGTAGTAGAAACTTGTCCAACCGCACGATGGCACTCTTCGCTGCTTTGCCGTTATCTTCCATTTGTTTGCCCATGGCTGGCATTCACCGAATGTAATCGCAGTTACATATATATAAGGTTCCTTTGCTCTGAGCGTACGTTTTTTTCGGCTTGGCACGTTGTTTACTGTTTTACGGCACTGGAAACTCACTGGATCTCATGAAGGAATTTATAATGAGAGTATATACTACTATGCATCGTAGCTAAAGCTGTATGTCTTAGTACGCGCACGTACATACGGCACGCGTGGCGTGGAAAAATCCACCGCCACCATCGCTTAGATTGTTATGGACGCCAGTGGACTTCTGCTATGTCAGTGTTCGTGTTCCTAAGCGTCACGCAACGCTTAACTTGCACAGGCAGCGATAGCAACGCTGATACCTCATTAGCAACAGCCGGCAATCCAGTGAGGTAACCAATTAGATGACTGACTGATTGACGGTCTGTGCCACTGCCCGCGGTTCCGTCAGATCCTCGACTTCACTTCGTCCTAGGGAAGCTTTGTTGTCTCCTACAGATCGGCGTCTATTGCCGAGGCTATTTTGTGATGACCAACAGTTAGTCGCCTTCAGCAGACATCGGGAGCGCAAACCCAATACATTATAGTCGCGAACGTATTGGGCGCAAACGACCACTAAGTGGACGCCAGAGGCCAGCGCGAAAGGTTTTTGAAGGAAAAGCACAGGACAGTCCTGCAGCTATAATGATTGTCTTGTTGCGTTATCCTGTCGTTCGCTATTAGTACCGTTGTACTAGATAATCGTGGACGAATCTAGGTCGGCGCCATCCCCGAATGGTGTTACTATCGCTTATTAACTAGAACTATGGTGTTTGACTGTTGTCCACATCCACAGTGGCCATGGCACGCAGTAGCAGGTAAATGGCGGCAGTAGAACTGTAATAGATATTATGATTACCCGAGCTACAGGCTAATGGAGTGCAAAGACTTAAATTTAGACAGCAGAAAGTTTCCTTATTTCATCGCTGTCAGTGTTATATAGTTTCTTATGCAATGTATTCCCAAGCTAAGAATGGGCCTCAGAACTACTCTAGATAGAATTGAATGCCCATATAGTAAACGCATCCAATGATTCAGTATTATAGAAGTTCATGCCCCAGATCAAGAGCAAATTCTGCTCGCGCATATGACCCAGCGCACAAACGCTGGTCGAGATACCTCTGTCGTGTAAGCGTTTCATAATGCACGACCATTATGTGTCCGTTGTACTAGACGGTGACAATGCTACAAGGCGTCTGTGATAAAGTGGTTGGCACTCCTTTTCCTAGTCGCTATCTGGCTGGTCCATCCCATGGAAATTTTGAGTTCGAGCTGTGTTTTGAGTATCGAATATTGCTTACAGCTGTTGCCGCTCGAACTTAGACATGGTCGGCACTAAGTGTGGGCAATCCATCGACACTCGAAGACAAATGAGTGGTCGGGCAGGAACTCATAATAGCCTAGTCCTAGTCGGCGGCCCAATGGTCAGGTGTCAGAACAACGATAACTTTTGTTTGTCACGGCCACTCTTCTTTCCTCGGTGTCGTGGCCTTAATTAGGTAGAGGGGAAGACATTGTTTCCACTGGGGTCGCGATATGTAGGTGGATACACAAAATAATATGACAAAATAGTTGTTTAGTAGATTAATACACGCTTGTTAGATTTTCCTACTGGGTCTACACTATGCTGTGCCATACTTAGATGCACATAATGTAAAAATAAATTATTTCGGGTTTGTTTTTGTTTCGGCCCCCCCTATAACAGCAATCGGCAGCTCGACGAGCGGGCACCTCATGTGCCAACTGCAAAACGACGACAACGACACTCTGGCGGCGAAACCATAATGGTGAGCCCGTGTGCAACGCCTGTGGACTCTACTACAAGCTGCACAACGTAAGTTCTTCTTTTTTTGACGACAAATACTTCATGCAGGTATGATTCCGTACGACGACCTAACCTGAATCACACTGATATGTGTGTGTGTGTGTGTGTGTGTGTGACCGAATACATTTAAGCTAAGTATTGCAGAAGAGAAAGCTATAGATGATAGAACTAATATGATCAGCCGCACAAGTTCGGTACATTAGACAAGTGGAAAAAATACTTAATCCCTACCTACGACAGATTCGAAGGTAGATTAGATTGGCTATACTGATCCAACTGGTCGTTGTTGAACTTACCGACATAGAATCTAATGAGGCGAAGTCGTTGATCGTCTCTCTACTGCAGGCTGTTACACTGGTGTACCGTTGCATCAATTGTATTCGCTTTGTCGCTATTTATCTGTCCTCTATAAAGATGAAGTCGGACCTAAGTATCCTCTGATCGTGATACTCGAAAAAGAAAAAGACGTCTAGCAAATAACAGGGAGCTGTCCACTCGACTAGCATTTGCTATTCTGAAGATATACACCCGTTCTAAGCTGTGTCGTACTCCACCCAGAAGAACGAAGCCCACCTACCGTTGAATCAGTTGAGCGCACTTTACGATTGAGCGGGTCAACTGGGTTTTAGGATACCGCTTGCTCTTTTCTTGTTTCGCGCGTTTACTGCTTGCTACTAGTACTACTACTACTACTACCGAAACCTACTCCTTCAACGAAACAAGGCTTTGCCCCCTTAAACGTATCGTCAGCTTGACCAACGAATCGTCTCTAATCTGGCTTAAAAGGGCGGGTAATATACCTTTTCGCGTGTTACACTGTAGTGTATTAGGTTTCTCGAGTAAGATAACATCATCTATGAGGTGATTTGGTCGCAAACACGTGTTCGCGCGCCCCCTCTACCAGTACGCCCCTTCTATGGAGTTCTTATGCTGAATGAAAAAGGACCCTTTGCCTTCACACACATATATATTCCTTCAGTGTTTTTCGAGGTGTTCATCTGCAGGGGAGACACCAGTCAGTTCGCCATTGCATCTAGAATGTCATTTCTGCTATCAAAGTCGCTGCCGCTTGTTCTATTTGCTCATTTGGTCACTCATATGCTCGCTAGCAAAGGCGTATTTCATGCTGACATATCGACGGTGGCAGCGGCACGTGATGACTACTGATCTGTTTCTCAGTGTTTCATTTGATTCTAGTCGTTGTTTGCTTCGCTCGGCTGGATCAAGACAATACTAACTCGATAAAGTTAGCGTTAGCTAGCGTCAGCGGCAGCGGAACTGTCAACAACTGATTGTGACACTCCATCATTCCGTGCCGGATGCTGTGGAGATGGATGGCTTCGTGCTCCAGCCGCTCCGGTGCGCGCGCTACCATTCGTAGCTATAGCTGTTGCTGGCCGCCAGCAGCAGCAGCAGCAGCTGGTGCCGATGACGGGTTGAAGAGCTGTATCGCCGTCTTTTACCTGCCTGCCCGCCTGTCTGACCAACCTGTCTGGCTATCTGACCATGCCATGCTATTAAAGATGACCACAAGGGGCTATTTGGCTTCCCACCAGCCAATGACTGCTCGGGCTGATAGATGCAGGAAAGAAACAAAACACAACACTGCTAACAGCAGCATGAGGAGCAAACCAACGGACGAACGGACGCACGCACGCACGCACGCACGCAACTGTCGAATGAGACATTATGCAGCAGTAGGACGAGCGCGGGCAGTAGCGGTGACGGGCCGCGGCAGCTATGCTAACGTAGAAAGAAGATAGCGGTAAGCTTGATCATTGGACATTTCGCCTTTGAAGTGGCTGTCTGCATGTGCGTACAGGGTGCTTGCCGTGGTCGACCAGCACGGACTAACAGCTCTTAGGGAGCAGATACAGAAGCAGCACTCACAGACGCTCTAACGCAGCATCGTACGTCAGCCACAGCAGGATCGTAGTGATGGCTAGAGGCTTTGAATCGAGGTAGCGCGAGCTAGCCAGCAGTACAAAAAGCGATTCGGGTATGGCCTACAAAGCAATGGAAGCCGACGGGAAAGCATCTGCACCGACCAACGAGGGACTTACCACTCGGGTGTTGCCAGCAATGTGAGTGTGCATATTGTGCGGACGCCTAACAGTCTGAACGCGAACTGGTATCTGGTCCTCTCCATAATGATCGTTGCACATGCTTCAATGTGACCCTGTGCTGCGCCGGCAATGGCCACGCCGCAAGTGTTGAGAGACGCACGTCTAATTGTGTCTATATTCGTGTAAATCTGTCGCGTTCTTCTTTTTCTCGTTCTCTTTTTGACTGGTTGTCTGTGCTTCGATCAGTCTGATTGTGTGCAACTATAAGTATGCACAATATATGGCGTTATTGCCATTGCCGCTGCTAGGGCGACGAGACGAAGTGGCTGACATACAAATATCAAAGTCGCCGTCGACGCTTAGCGTGAGTAATAGCAGTGGTATGGTAGCGTTCACCGCTGCTGTGTCCTAACCGAAGGCCCGAACAACAAATTCAGAATTTTTGGCAGGTAGAATAGAAAAATGAAAGTTATATAAGCGCATATGAAGAGAAACAACGGGGGAGTTAGGAAAACGTACGCAGCTATATGGCCGCTGCCGGCGCGCGTTGAGCTACAAGTCAGTCGTCATAGCCAATTGTCAACACAGGACGATTATGAAGCGTGGCAGGCGTTTCTTTTTTCTGCGTTTTCTGCAATGGACAGTCGCAGCTTCAGCGAGAGACAGGGGGTCCGCTAGTAGATGGGTCGGGCAGTTAATCAGCGGTGGGTTTCGGCATCAGCCGCGTCAACAACAACAACAACAACAACGGCAATTGGAGCTACGAGAATGACAAAGACGACGCGAGCGGACTGCTGTAGTCGATTCATCGGAGAAAGCAATAATTACGTCGCCAGCCAATGAAACAGCCACATGAATATTGGACAATTCGTACAATATCACGGCGATTGCCGCCGCCGCCATCGATAACCGTGTAGCCATCATAAAAAGGCATTTCAACGGGCAGTCACATAGGTTCTTATAATAGAAGAAAACACATCTTGGGCGATAGAGGTGCACCCGATAGTGGTCATTTGTCGTCGATGGATTCCTTCCCCAGGCGTGCAATGGCCACGAACAAACGACGCGATCCTTACGCAAGCGAATCAACGGCTGCACGGGAAGATCAAGCGAGAGGACTTTTTGTTTATGGGCGTGTCTCAGTAGACGTGTTCACGTCTGTCTGTGTTTGGAACGTAGTAAAAAGGTGTGCGCGGGAGGTGCGTTTCTCAACTGAGAGATGCCCGCCTTCAGCGAGAACCGAATGGCCACTGACAAGATTCTAATCTTGTCTGTCGTCTGAAAATCACTGCACTGTCCTCGAATGGAATTTTTTCTTTCAATTATTTTGCTTGTTGTTTTGCTGTATATATATATATATACACACGTGAGTGCTCTAATAATACAACTAGAAAGAAAGGTAATTTGTGATTGATTCATCTTATCCCCTAGGAAGACATGTGGCTAAAACGATCTTAAGTACACTCGGCGTGAAATACTGTTTGATTTGGAAGACATTTATCAGCGGATTTCAAGGATGCGTAGTAGAATTGGATTAATTTTGTTAGTAAGTCGGGGCTTCCCACCCACTACTAATTAACACTGCACCTATAATACAGTATGATACGGTGCCATCGCGCCTTCATGCAGAAGTCGGTCGGCTACAGTGTGATTTACTCGTTTCAGTCCCTATGTTGTGCGAGTCATGGCGCGTCATGCGCTATTACTTTCTCCTGCTACTTTTGCGGCAGTGTTGTCGTTGGTGAGAAACGTCGCTGCCACACGATGCAGGTCAATACCGCTGAGATCTCAGCCCTCACTAAGCACACAAACGAAGGTGAAGCAGACAAACGACGCCAACGGAGACAGCGCGACGGCAACAATATCAGCCTACCTCTCGTTCAAAGCAGCCTCGGTCGGAATCGCGCATAGTTGATGGCCTGGCTTTTTGCAGGTATCACGAGCAGTAGAAGCACGAGCTGGAGGCTGATGCGTTCGTCATCGCATCTCGCTGGCGACTTCGTGTACTTGTTTACAACCTCCCGGAGCCTCGGGAAAACGGCAGCTGCGCACAGCGGCAGGGCGAACCGTAAGGTTAATACCTTCTGGCGACAACGACAGTAATCAGGCACCTCGTTCGTTAGAAAACATTCGTAATGGGATCATGCGCAAGAGGGGATCTGAGCAGAGCTGAGAGTTGTCGTTTGATTTTTTTCTTCTACTCTTTCCCTCTCTTCAACTCCTCTTTGATTTGTCCTTTATTCATTCGATCAAGTATAGGGTCACAGTGAGCTATACCAAATGCTAGTATAGACAACTGACCCGTGTCGTATCCTGCTACCACCTCGACCATTATGAAAAGTGCATTTTCATCCTTTCTTGAAGGATTCGTCAGTCGGCGCTGAAGACCTATGAAGTCACAACGGCAACGACGCCAATGGCATGGGTAAGCAGGCGACTCGCGCCGCCGCGTTACTCGATCGCTAAACGACGGGTGCCATATATATGTATATATGGAACCCGTCGTTGGTGCCATACCTACTGTATAATATATATCTTATATACTACGTATGGCACTAATTGACTACAGGTGCTGTTATCCTCTCTGGCCATAGCTTGTTTCCTTTCTACCTACTTACAATATAAAGAACAGCTGTTGTCGTACGGGATACGACAAGAACGAAGTGGCGCAACTACTGCTATAACTAAGATCAATACGACCAGAAGATGCCGATTTCAGCTGCGTTGTTGCCGCTCTTCAGCCTTCTGCGCGGCGCTGTTCCTTACCGTAAGAATTGCACAGACGAAAGTCGTCGCCATCGGGGACACAACAACATTTGAATAAAGCGTCTGCTGTTTGCGTCGTCGCTTTCTATTTGCCGGCGTGTTGGCACGCAGTCGCCAGTGGTCCTAGCGGCCGCTGCTTGAGGACTGATAGTTCTTGCTACTGCTTTTATCCTAGCTACTCTCTGGGCGGCAGCGCATCGGACAGTTTCGTCGACGTTGTTCTTTGTCAAAGTTTTCTCCTCCTTCGCGTGCTTCTTCAACAGCGAACGTTGACCTTGGCGGGATGTTCCGACGCCGATGGACGTACCAACTGAACGCGGCCGATGTTCCAGCCTTCACAGGCCTCTCGCCCGCGTTTAATCGACGCTTTGCTCGATAGCACTCGTTGACTCGCTTTAATCTGCCGTCCTTTCGGGCTCCTTTTCCCCGCCCGTGTTCGTGATCATTATGGCAACAGATTTCGGCTGGTAGCGGCCACGGTCACTGGTTCGCCACCACTCACTGAAACATACGTGGTCCGCTAAGTTTGAGAGTTGTCAATGATTCTGCTACAAATTCTCAAATGTTCTTTCTGTTGCTCTAGCTACACCTAATGTAGGAGTTGTTCCTCTAATACACGACGTCTGCCGAAATAAATTCTGCTGGGAAGGTAACCGGCGAGGCTGAAACCTATAACCACACTTCTACTAAGTGAGCCTAGTTGTATATGAAGGCGTGTGAGATTTAGATATTTGTTAAATTTATGTATCTCCATATAGATATATATATGGTGGCGGTGTTGCTGTTTTAGATGTATGAGGTTTCTTACCTCTTTTCCACGAGCGCTACTCTCTTATTCGTTCGCCTGTGGATATATTGCCGCATCAGGAAACAGTTTGTTGCCTTCCGGTGAAGCTAGTGGGTGTACAGACCCACCGTTGAGCTGCTACGCAGGACAGGACGGTTGAAGCGATAGTAAAGTCCTTGCTACCTTCGCAATGAACGAACCGCCGCTATGGCAGAGAAAGCGGTACTCATATAAGGACGACGCCACGCTTTGGTTGGCTCGTGTCTAGCAGGGGCAGCAGTGGAAGCTCCATCTATGGCTGTTCCAGCATGCGTCGTAACCCAAGCTAAAGGCATGAAGAGGAGGGGCGAACGCCCTACGACGACTTGCCCCAGGAAATGACTCGTCGCGATGGGAGAACGAGTTTATCGAAGCAGCTAAAATGGAAGTTGCGGTACAAGTCATAGCAGTGATAGAACTAACAGTAATTTTGATAGCAGCAAGAGTGCAAGCACCCTTAAACGGAGCAATGGACTATCAGCTGTCGTTATACTGGCATTAAACAAGGGTACTGGCCTGATCCCCGCCCACTTTTTACCCCCCAAAAATTGATATTCAATGGTCCAAAATTTACTTGTATACATAGACTCGCGTCGTATACAGTCTATAACAAGGTAAACGTGTCGATGGCTTAATGAGTACAAAGACAACCTAAACAGGCCCTCAGGCTTTCAGTTGCCCTCTACTGCGTCTCTTAACTGTGGTGATCCCAGCAGGTCAAATCAGCCAATTATGGGTGAGTGGATGGATAAATTCGTACAGATCTAGAACTTTCCTGTGATGTTAGGTAACAAGGGCAGTAAATGGACGCCATACGGCCATAAGGCAAACACCGCTGAAGTCCCAGCTTTAGCAGAGCGCAGCAGTAGCAATAATTGACAGAGGTCTCTTTATCTTCTGTTTAAGCTGACGCTATAGATTGAGGCTGTGCTCAGATGCGAATTGACGCTGATGTGAATTATGTACGAAAGCAGACAGCCATGACCACGACGAGTGGCGCCACTCAGCGGGAGTCACCAGCCCCCGCCGGGACAGAATCTTTATTGGAGCAAGACGAAGGACAGAACAACGACAGCAGACAAGGTAGTCAAACGTTGAGAAAACAAACATTGAAACATATCAACGTCAGCCCGATCACTCCAAATTCACTAGAAAATACACCACAGCAGGAACAATAAGGACGGCTTTGTGGATAAGCTCTAGGACAAGGATCATGATGTCGCGCCCACGTCGGACAAGACGATCTATTTCTGTTAGACCAACACTAATAGCAATTCTCTCGTTTCATTGCTTATAATGGCCTGCTGTCTCAAGCAGGCTCGGCGATACAGGAAGCGTCTGATCTATTAGATATGTTCGAAATCTTTCTTTTTTTTTCCCCATATATATATATATATATATATATATATATATATATATATATATATATCAATTTTTACCAGCTCCAATCCGCAAAACATATAACATCGAAAATTTCATATCTTATTAATGGTGCCATTACGATGTCGTTTGCACAACTGAGTAACGGTAGTTTGGAATAAAATCAACGCGTCAGGTAAACGCACACTATGATATCGCCATCAGCAGCGGCGGCGGAACCGACGGAACAATTGCAAAAACATTTGAGTAGTGTCGCCGCATAATGGCATAAATAACACTCATCTTGTATTTATTTAAACATTACACAAAAACGTTCAGATGTAAGCAGGAGGCGTTCACACGCTACTTGTGTCCGTTTGTCCGCCCATCGAACGGAGTCAGTTACCACGATTCGATATATCTATGGTTCACTGTCGCAGCGTCCTGGACCACCATCCAGTAGCGTCCACTGTCGTTCGTCCGTCCGGTCAACGCCTGACTGTTGTTCCTGAACGTGTGAACCGGCACTTTGAAATGGTGCCATCTCTGCCGCCGACAAAATCGCTGTAGCTCTTTGTCCACCGGGCTCTTGCCACACGATGGCAATCAAACGACTTCGAGCGTCGTTTGCCTCGACCGACGACTTCAATACCAATAATAACACTCGCAGCAGCAGCTGAGTCGGGTGTCATAAACTGTCCATGAATAATTCGTTAATTTACATCGCAACCCGGAATTGCGTGTCTATTTGTGTCGGTGTGACGCTGTCGCAGTGCTGTGTTTGTTCAGGGCGGACAATGACGCACAGACAATGAAAAACCCAGTCAGCAAGAAATGGGGTGGCCAATACTGGCCACCCGCCTCGATACTGCTGCTGCTACCGGCGCGTCTTTTGCCAGCTGCCAACGAGACCGCGAGAATGATGATAGTGGTAACAACATTCGAGTGAACTCACGAGCTCGTATTTGCCACTTCCATAGTTTGCCAGAGTGAGATTGATTGGTTCGCTGCGCTGTTTGATGCCAAAAGAGACTTGCCCGGACTTTCGCTATCCCCTATGAGAGTGCCTAGTACGAATGAATCTGTTCGGGCATCTGAGTAGACTGGTAAGCAGCTGTGGGAATAGTGGCAAACGGGGATGGGTCAGAAACTTCGCGCATTATTGATTCTGATAACCCAATTACATCAAATACGTTTGGAGGAAAATTCGCAGGTAAACGGGCTTGAGACTGAACATGTGGTACCTCCTTATATACACGTACGCACATTTGCAAACAGTCTGGTATGATTGCGTGCACGTATTAATTAGGCTGTACTTAAGTTCAGGGCTATGCACTGGTTAACAATACGGTCCTGTTGTTGTTCCGCATGAATTACAGGTGAATAGGCCGCTGACCATGAAGAAAGAAGGCATTCAAACGCGCAACCGCAAACTCAGCTCGAAGGCGAAGAAGAAGAAGCCATCGGGCTCGATGCTGGCGCTGCCTGACTGCCTGAAGCCGCTTGGCGACAAGTCGTTCTCGAGCTTCTCACCGGCAGGCCAGTTTTCGATGGGCATGAACATGAATCATTATATGGGCGTAAACCAGGGGGCGGCACAGTTTCCCGTCGGCATGGGCGGCTCGTTTGTATCGTCTAGTCCGGTGTCGTCTATCGGCCAACACATGGGAGCGGCAGGCCATGCGGGTTCGCTGAGCTCGCAGATTAGCCAGAGCATTTCGTCGAGTCTGGCCGTTGGAGTGGGCCATGGAGGCCAAGGATCAACGGCAGCCGCCCTCAATCTCGGTGCGGGCGCTGGTTCGGCGGCGCTCAACTCGATGGTAGGCGCCATGGCGTAGGGTGTCCCGCCAGCCGAGGAGCTCCACGAGGGCGTCGAGGACGACAGCCTTGATGGCCACGATGGCATCGGCGATCCAGCACTGGCCGAATCTAGTGCCGGTCCCAATAACAACAGCAACGGGAAACAGTCAACAGCGACATCAGCCGTAGTGGCAGCAGCACACGCGATCGCTGCGGCGAATCGACGCTGAACATTGGTTAACAATGGATGTTGGCGCCCAATATCTACCTCTACCCAATTTATTTTCCACCTTGAGAGCAGGCCGAACTGCGCTAAACAGGCGGTGACATCGATAAACATAACAGCGATGATGATGATGATGGGAAAATCTAACAAATGAGTACTGCTGTCGCCACTTCTTAGAAGAGTTCTGTGTACTTTATTTACTCGCCTGCGATTCTTCAACCGTGATGACCCAGTTTGCGACCCATGATTAGGTTTAGGGCCGTCTGCTAAAGAAAACTCAACTAATGCAAAATACTCTGCGTTGGTCGAATGCGACGAACCCTAATAGAAACAAAGGGTATGAAAAAGATAAGAAAGTAGAAAGAGCTCTAGTAGGAAGAAGAAACCATAAGAAAAGGATAATGACGATGACCAAGTTGAGGTCGGATGAAGCCAACGTGTCGGGTTTACGTCGACACGCTGCTGAAGAATAGTGAGACGAAGTCGGACCCCCGAGCAAACCCCGGTTGGAAATAATTGGAAATGTTTAGGCGGAGGCGACGGCAATGCGGGCGTGTTCATTTAGACGGAGCACACAAACACAGCCATCGACGCCCACACCTACACACAAGCACAGTGCTCTACAGACAAGCTAAATAAGGTACGGCCGAAACATGTTGCAGGAGACGGAGATTAGTACTATGAAAATGACAATAGCAACAGCCATTACTTGACACAACAAACACAACGATAGTACTGCAACGATGGATGAACAGAGCAGAGGCCGTTGACGAGCTAACGACTCGCGCAATTTCTCTCTGGAGAACGAATGCAGAATGAAAAACAACAAAGGGGAACGAAGAGTAGGATCCCTGATGGTCTTTTCAGAGAGGCAAAGAGAAGAAGCGACATGACGCAGTGGCAGATCGAACATCCCTTCTACTGTCTGCTGTGGCCTCTGCCTGAACAGCAAAAAGCATGAAATCAGAGATGATCCATTGATCTCGCGGTGGCGTCCGACGACACCCCCTACCCATGTACAGAATCCTCAGTGTCCGCCCCAAAAAAAATACACCTAAACTGCATACATATTATACATAATACAGATAAACAGAGCCGCCGAAGATGATATACAGACAATATTAATAGAGGCGACGCGTGAATGAAAAGGTTGCATATATAAGTAACAAGCAAATATACATTGCCCGACATGCGGTCAATAGATGGCGCATCGGGCACTGGATAGACAAACATTATTAATATTATCTTCACCTATAGAGTGTGATGGTATTCATGATGATTAAGGGCTGAAAATTGGCTCGCTGGTTGGTCTTCCTGTCGTTTCGTCAGTGTGCGTATGATTGTATGTGACCGATATGTATGTAGGATTATTGTGGTCACCATACCCAGCCAGTAGAAACTGCAATGACACCAACAGCGACAAAACAACAATAGTCAGAACGATAGCTACGTGATTAGGCAAAAATAAGCCAGCAACGAGAAACAGCAACCGTAACGGCTGTTATAATATTGATAACAATGAAGACACATTGATATAGGGAAAGTGACATCAGTCCTGGAAATACTAACAATAAGGATATACAAGTTGGAAACGAAGACCGTGTTCGTGAAAAGGTATCGCGGCTATGGTCGGTAATAAACACGAACACGCACACAATATTGAACGAATACATTTACGATTATTCGAAATACGACAACGAAGGAACGGGTATCTGCGGGCGAGTGAGCGAATGATATAGACGTGCACGTGTGCATGCGTGTCTGTGTGTGTATGCGTGGGCGTGAGCATGTGTGTGTGTGTGTGTGTGTGTGTGTGTCTGTTTGTGTGCACGCGAAATCGAGGGAAAAGTTTATGCGAAAGCAGCAAGAACAATACTGACCGAATTAGAAAACACGGTTGAAACAAACAACAGATGATTGGTGGAGAAGCAACGCGATAAAAGAAATTGTTCGTGTAGTGCAATACCCACAGGACGAGATGCGGACGAGCCTCAGCACGAGAGCCCCTCTCTGTGAGCGGAAGCGTGAACTCGCCAGCAGCGAATCTTTGGAAATTGATCGGCCAGCACAGCCGTACCATGCAAACAGACAGAGATGGATTAGTTATAATGCAAAAATTAGCAAAGAGAAGTAGAACGGACGGGACAGACGAAAGATAACAGGGGGCTGACGCCGCTAGCCGTGAACCTGGCAGATGTGATTGATTCGAATATGAAATTATCTTATAAATGTCGTAAGCGATCGCTTATAAATGAAGTATCTGAGGGGCTTTTTGTTAGTCGATAATACTTAAGGTACACAGTGTCTGCTGGGTTCATTCCTTGCGCTCGAGTAGTAAAGATAAACGGTTGAAAAAGATGCGACGTATCGCATCTACCCTTCCGGTGCATGCGATGCTCGATCAATGAGGCTTCTGAAGATGATGATTTCGTCTTCGTGGTCGTCAAAACGAGTGCTTTCTAATCGACTGTATCCAAATCAGCTGTGACCTACGAGAGATGGCTACTTTCACTAAGGAAGATATTCTTCTCAGACCATATTCGATATCCGCGCGTTGAAAATTCAATTTTGAAAACAAACCAACAAGTCCGAACCAATTTTCCGATTAGCAATACAAAAACAGCAGCAGCAGGTAACCGAAAGCAAAAAAAAAAAATAGTTGGTGAAGATTTGACACATCGAGACGATAGCGGCACTCGGATGTTTGTAAATGTTGTAAATTCTGTCGCTAATGACTAAAGCAAGGTAGAAGACTGGGAAAGATGAAGATGATAATGGCGTACTCATACATAGGGCACCAGAAGCTCTAGCGAGGGGAGGACGGTGCAACGATAAATGATGGGACAATACTAAACATTTATGTAACAACAAATAAAGTAATGAGCAAAGACTGACGAGAGTGAGGGAGAAAGAGAAACAATTAAACGAGAATAAATTAAACTGGGTTCGTGCTCGACCCGTGTCCTGTGTATCATAATAAGTTACCTAGGTATTACAAAAAAAAAGAGAATAATTATAGAAAATTATGTGACTTGTCAATGAGCTGTGACCATTCACCATGACGACTTGTGACGACACCAGCATACACGTTAAAAACAATAAAAATACATAAAAAAAAAAAAGCAAAACTGTCCTAATAAACAGCATTAGACTAGCCTGAAAGTTGGTTTTTATGGCAGGCGTTCAGACAGAAGTTGTGCGATTTCGACGACGACAACAACAACAACAACAACAACAACAGCAACAAAATGTTGGGTAAAATCGGAGGACCCAGGCGTCAAATTCCAAATCGAAACAGACAATACCAAAGAACGACTGGGTTTTGGTTTTGCGAGAACTCAAAACCTTTTTCGGTTCTAGCCAATGAAGCAGTCCATCGATGGGTCCGATGAAAGCATTTTGATGTTGAGAGTTAATATTAGCTTGAGACAACCCGTGATAGCTGATGAAACAACGTAAAACAGAAACGTACGACCAAATAACAGAGTTTCCCCTCAAAGCAACAACGATTATGGCAAAAGCAACATTAACAATACACCAGCTACGTCAGTCACAATAAATGATTAAAAAAATAGATGAAGGCAGCGAACGAATATCAACAATGCCGAAGTAGCAGAAAGAAGAGCTGCGATGAAAGAGGCAAGGACGGTGGCATAACTATACAAAGCGAAAATATGGTGCGTCGTATCTAATAGGCCTATTTAATGGACGAAGCCGTCAGGTAACGAAGAGAATAAGATGATCAGCTGGGTGACGAGTGGCGATTATTTTTTCGTCGTCGTAGTTGTTGTCGTCGTCATCCATGACCATATACTCTATGTGTATCTGTAATACAGGGCGAACAGTGTATTGCCGGAGAGTAGGCCAACAAACGGCCCTGCCGAAAGTCCAACTGGCGGGCACGTTCGAAATGTACTGCGTACCCAGTTCTGCTGTGGCATCCATTTGTGAAATCAGGTAGAAACAGCGACAAGTGGATCTAAGGAAAGTCAAAAAAAAATTGAGAAGACAACGGACATGGTGTCGTAATAGTGGTGTTATTAATAATAATAATTATAATTATTATTATTATTATTATTATTATTATTATCAAAAAAGGAGTGCTATTCATGTAAATATAGTTTTAGCATGATACGATTAAAAAGAAAATAAAATGTCGGATCACTGTCACTTAAAATATATTATTGGCTTATTACTTCGTACGTATTTTGTCGTCGCAGTTCATCTTTATCTAACAGTGAGCATCTGCCAGGTTTGAAAAGGGGCCTGGACAGACACTTTGTTCCATATTGCCGAAACAATGCTTAATAGCAATGCCGAAGGAAGAAACATTAGATTAGGTATATATATATATACATACATATATGTGTGCGTAAGTTGTTTAGTTCGTTATAGAACTTTACTTTGTAAACTTACGCTAGACCATGGCTACCTGGGACATTCTTTTTGTTTTTGAGAATGGAACGTTAGCCTTTGGAATTCATTCGACGCGTTCTCTCTGTGTGTTCGATCTGATACCATTTAGGTTTTTGTTTTTTTATTTACGAAATCGATGTTACCGGTGGCAGGTACTGCAAAGGCTGGTTATACGTTTGAGCTATATGAGACAACCTATTTCTCACAAAAGCAGCGCTGTTTCACGCGTTGCTGTTATCTTCGATGTTTTTATTTTTAAGATTTGACGTGTTTGGGTACAAAGGCCATTTTAGACACCTCTAAGTTTAAATAAGCCATAAATATTCAGCCATATGATTTTAATCGACAATTCTATCACATTGATTAGATGTGCAATCATATACGCATATGCCACGAAGCGTACATATTGCTCTGTACTATAAACCCCATTCAAAGTCATAAATAAAACGCCGCCTGAAGGACGATCGGTGTTTGTCGCCCGTACGGGCGTTCAGAGATTTCAGATATAGATAATATAAACGGAAACAAAAAAACAAGTGTTATTTCATTTAAGAGTCTCTTTTTACTTTGGCTCTTGTAAGTGCCTCTTGGTGCATGAGCGTACGAAGTCCTTGAAGACTGATAGCTGAAGTACAATAACTCTGTGAAATTTTCCGATTAAAGAACTATGTCAACAAAGTTAAGTCATGGAATGGCGGCAAAAAGTGCTAAGGTGGATATTATTATTATTCTGCGATTGGCAAGCGGCCATCACGTACACATTATAATCAAAACATAATTAAACAAAATAAAAGTCGGCCGCCTTTGTAAAGCTGAGCTGTCTGCCATGTTAGATTTGATCCGGCACTCCTATGTACTTTTCACATTTGACGTTTTGCACAGGAATCAGCTTTGTATTTAGCTAATTCAATAATTAGCTGGCTTACCAGCTAGGCAATGGCTATACAATGATCTTAGCACTGGGCACACAGAATCGTTTCTCTACCACTATGCCGCAGATGTTCATTATTTCATCGGAAGTAGTATTTTTAGATTACCGAATAACTTACGATAAATAGTCCAATGCTTGTTTAAACCCCACTCAACTTCAAGACCGGGGTACTCGGGTGCACCTGAACGTTGTTGAGCAAGTGACTGTAAGTTGATGGTCCGACGACGGGACTCGACATTGTCTATTGCCAACGGCTGGATGAGATTGAGATCTTTGTTAAATGTTGACGCTCCAGATAAGGTTTGCCTAAATGGCTACATTACGAGAAGTTAGTACGCAGAGACGGATTGTGCATCTTGCGACCCACATAGCGTACGGCAGTTCCACATATGCCAATGACAATGTACTATAAATAAACCAGGCTGGAAATGGTTACGATAAGAATCTACCGTGATCGAAATAACATGGTGGTATGGTAGGACATTTGGTAAACGACTTGAAGGCGGATAGACTATAATCAAGTGGTAAAAATATACTAGATATAGGAGATGGGCTAAATATCCAGGTAAAACTAAGTTTTCTGCCCAAAGTTGAATGCTCGTCTACGCGCTCGATACAATTGGATCCAGTGGTTTACGTATTGCGTGCTGCAACGGCCACTTCCTACATATTGTGCATGCGTATAACTCACACAAATTTTACGTTTTTTACGCCAACGACCACGTGACCGGGGCTCATGGGTGTCCACTCTAATAGATTACGCAACTTCAAAATGTATTTTGGGACGTTTGGTCGGCTGTTACGAAATTTCAATCCATCTACCTTTGTCGGAAATAGGGAACAAGTTATTCGTTTTGAAAAGAAAGAAACACTATTAATGGCGTCTCAAGGTGAAGTTCTATTACCACCAATGAAGTTCTATTAGATAAAGAGAAAACAAAAATACACAGGAACCATTTAGAAGTTTCCTTGACTAATATTTGTCCTATGCACTTTTCTATTCAGTACGTACTTTCAGCAGGTTTGGTAAATTGCAAAAGCATTGCACACCCTTTATTGTGGACTGATAATAAATACGTGTATATATATATATATATATATATGCGCAGTGCACATTGTATCAGTAAGTAACTCTGACATGGTCATTGCCTAACCACAAGCGCAACGAGTATTTATCACGTTTTTTGGCGCCCACGAAATCAACATATTCAATTTTTCTCAGCCAATTAGTGCCCATTAAAAGTCTGGGGGCTTTGCTCTTTCAAATGCCCGCAGTACCCCTGCGCTTTCCAAAGGAGACTGTGAGAGAGCCGTGTGGGGTCGTGGCCTCTTTTTTTTTTAGCGATGGCAGGAAGCACAAAGCTGAAAGAGTCCTTTACATTCACCCTCTGCAAAAATACGCCATCAATTAACGGATGAAAGGGTTGATGGTAGCATTAAGAACCACTTAACAATAGAACTTTGCAAAGAAAAGTATATTACTAAGACACAGTCAATGCAATATCTAGTTTAGCAACTGTAGACAAATTGTATTTAATACAGAGACGAAGAAACACGTGATACAATCTTCTAGCGTACTTATAGAGCGCTGTAATAGCTTGTACTAGATCCTAAAATCGAAAACCCTAGGAGATGCTGCTTTAATACGACTTTGTAGTAACTGCATTTTAAAAACCAATGCCCATATACAGGATACCTTAAAAATATCTTTAGCGTTTACTATACATTAGAGACAAGTTTATGGCTTTTCATTTGGGCCATTTTTTTACATGCCATATTTTCAGTCGCAAGGCGTACATAGCAATAGATTTTTTTTTTAACTTACCAGAGTAACTTAACAACTGGTAGCCTTAAAGGCTGGTATGGTGTATATGCACATGTTGAACACAATGTAAGCAGTAGATATGACACAAGGCCTTTATTTTGCTAAAGTAGGCTCACAGGTTTGCCGTACCCCCCCCCCCTCCCCCCGCGGCGCCATTTACCAGCATTTTCGTGTTGTTTATACATACTGGTTGGTTTACACGCCTTACAATGTTCCTTTTTGAACGATGCTGCTAGCTAGTTTTCCGACTAGAGCCGCAGATAGACCACAAATTAAGATATGCCGATTAAGAGAACACCCTAAACGTCAAGGAATTATGTAAGTTGGTAAGTAAATAATAATTATGGTAAGTTCAGGAAAAAGGACGCTAACTTTTTTTGCAATTAGGATCACAGACATCTTTATCTCCTTTATTTTAAAGTGATACATTTGTCTTCATAGTTAATATAACTGTAATAATAGGTGAAATTTTATGTAAATAATGTCTAGCTCATAGAAACGACAAAATTGACACTTTAAATTTACCATTTTTTCCGAAATTTTTCTAAAACGTCTTTATGCATATCTCGAACATTTCCATAACAAACTTCGATAACTTTAACGATATCTAATAGTGTTTAATAAAATAATAGCGTTCTTATTCCCGGAATGCTGAGTTACATTCTCCACGAAGACATCGAAGCGATATATCACGCAAGTACAACCCGAAATGGGATCCAAGTTCATGCGTAACGAAGTCCCGTTCAACAGCATAGAAGAAGTAATCCACTGAAAGAAAATCAAGCTTTGTAAAAGAAAGTAAAAAGAAAATAAAGATTGTTTCACTATTCAATAATCTTGTCTCACTTTTCCGGCTGCATTTTTACGGGACCATTTCCTACTACTTAGGCAACACTTGTTCCATGTCCT